TGACCAGCGGTGGTCCTTTCATTTGACCTTTTCGAGCGGCGTGATAGATCTTCAAACTTTTTCCTTAACTTGCTCTTAGTGTCAGACCGAATCTTTCGCATACCGATTTAGACCCAGCTACCATTCCCTTCCAAAGACTCCTCTCCAAATGCTGAGCACAATGGTATTCTTTGTAAACAAATTTGTTTAATAGTGAAAACATTCCGTTTTGTGTGCACCGCAATGAAATGCGTAGCAGTTTTATTTCGTTGCTCAGCACTTGTTGAGAGCTCTCCAGTAAGCCGCATACTTCGTATAATTCCCTACGTTTTATAAAGTTGGGAATAATTCGATGTTTTAAGCAGCGGCGTAACTTCACAAAACCCTTAAGGCGTTTTGGATAAATTTCAAAAATCCAAAGATGAACCGGAAACACGAATGCCTCACTATCACGCCTGACCTGGTGCCCTATTTCAAAATGATAATTTGACCCCGGAGCGTGTCTTGCTCGCGTGAACTACGTGTGGGCCAGTTCCGCACGTAACATCACGGTGAGTGGCCTTTCTGTTCAATATGGCGTCTGCTTGAAAGTTTGATCTTCATTAATACTTTAACCTTCTTTTCCACCGAATAATAAAAAGTATTCTAACATAAAGTACGTCCAGTCTCTGAGGAAGGCGAAGTCGCCGAAACGTCAGCCATCGATCAATGACATCAAAAACAACGACAACGACAACGAAGATCTGTACCAACCTCGCGTCAGCTTAAGAAGATCAGTTTATAAAATCACATAAATAAATATATCCAAAATGATTGTTCCTGGTTTTAATACCAGTCTGAATCGACTGCTATGTCATTCGTTAACAAAAATGGACTCTTCGCACTAGAGGAATCTATTTGGTTGTACTAAGGTCCTTGAGGGATCTCAAGCGAAACCTTCTCACCAAGGCCCTTCTGGCAGTGGATATTGAGGCCGTCGCTTGCAAGTGAACAATACGTGCACTGACAGATGATAAGGATCAAACTTTACTTGGCAGCAGTGTGGTTATCTTTTCCAAAAGTGCCGATGAAGGACAGATGAGTCCAAAGACCTTAATCAGGTTAGGAAAAGTGAGAATGTAAGGAAAAATATTCATAGAAAACAGAATGTGTGACGAATCATCACAAATAGTTCTACGATTCTGGATATTATTTCTTATACATTCGCCGTACTAATTACGAGGAAAAACTGTTCGAAACGTGTGACAAGAATCTCTCCTTTACAACTGAAACAATGACAGCTTGCACTACCATTTACCTCCCTTTCCATCTAAACTGCATTGAACATGATAGTGACAATCGAAATAAAAGCATAGAGCAGTCCTACAGAAGCTATCATCAGATACATAAATGGCAATCAGTACATAAGAAAACGTTAGAAAATCTTAAGAGTGAGATCTACAGGATTATTCTTCACAAATATGGCGACACATTGTGCCAATTCATCATGTCAATTAAGGCACATTATGATAATATACGGTTCTAGATCTGTTCTCAATTTTTGAAAGTACAGCGCTTCAAGTGAAGAACGCACTCATAAATTTGACAACATTGATATCAATCGAGCGATTTAACCGATCTTGCCACTTGTTCAGAGTTCTACGTGGAATCGAACCATCTTCCGTGAGCAATACTGTTCATCTTACAGAAAAAAAGTCGTAGAGATATGAAACCCAAACTCTTTGCAAGTTAGGATGTTCAATTCGTTGCTGGACTTTCAGAATGATATTGTCTTCGCATCAACTAAGAATGCAGACTGCTTATTCAGCGTCATCAGCGTAGTATTAGGAAACCCGAAAGATATTAATTCTTTCCAAACTTTATGTCCAATTTCAACTCATATTTATAAAGTAGCATATCTCAGCTCAGAATAAACCGTATTGATAGAAATAATAACCGCTGTAATTTACACATTTTGTCAACAGGCAGCATATTCGCTTATGAAGATTGCTTAAATTCCAGACTTCTGGAGATAGTGAATTCGTTGAAGGTACTTTTGGCCTCAGCTTGCTTTCTGGATCATTTCATAGGAAATGGTAAGGAAACGAAATCAAAACACGTCTGTAGTGTCTCCTACGTGTACAATGGAATTAGAGGATACCGCGAATGTGTTTTGTCATTGCAGGCGATCCAGATGATATTAAAATTCCAACCAGCATCATAGAGATTTCCTTGTTTATTTACACTCTTAACATCTGAGTTCACCTACTCCTTTATTTACAGTTTTGCTAATTGTATTCCAATAAGTGAAAAAAACGACTTTGAATAGTCAACAAATCAACAATTGCCACAAATAACAAGATATTTAATTAAATAGTACGAGAAGAAATAAGATCAACTTTTGATGATATCAACGTTCTGTTAACTCTGATGCCATAAAATCATACAGCTCAGCATTAATCTTCTTCAACTTCTGTATCTCTCGCCTTTGTTTTTCTATTACCTCTTTGTCATGCGTTGAACTCACGCCTGAACACGTTTTTATATCTGCCGAAAACAAAAAGGGTGTTATTTATCTGCGATGCTTAACAGAGAGCCTCCACGAACTCAGTATATTTTTCTTTCCCATAATTTTTATTCACAAGAGTTGATACACAAAAAGCATTGTACTGCTCATCGGTAAATTTCACCTAAACTTGACTAACACTCTTGCAACGAGTGACCTCTATGGGTGTAACAATGAAGCTGCGGAAACGGCTGCAATAACACCGTTTATTTTACTGTGTTTAGCCTGTTGATATCCACGTATAGTTTGTTCAGCTCTGAATGTGGAGACTGGGCATACTCACGGGCAACTTGACACTATCTCATCTGACTCGTAGAATACAATCCGCATAAACACATTCACATATGCATGAATGCGCCCTCGTAAGTACAAAAGGTATGTGCCAAAACGGAACGGAGAAGCGATCTCCTAGGTCCATCCGGGCCTCAGAGAAGCAAAGGTCGCTTTTCGTCCACGATTAACCCCCTATCCACCAGCTGCTGACGCGCCGCGTAGTCTCGCGACTAACCGGCATGTGGTCCCACTATGATGGAGATCTATGGTACATAAACCGTGTAATGACAAATGTATACTGTAGGCATGTAGAAGTGGTCTTGATGTTAGAAATGAACAAAGGACGACCTGCTATGTTCATTCGCATATAATGGGTCTCAGATGTAAACAATGATCTGCACCGATTTTCATATGAAAGCCTGAAATACATTAAGAAAACGTTGTACACGTACCGTCAGACGCTCCAGGTGATGACCCGGCAATTTCTATAATTTCGAGGCCCTCAACAGGAACTATAGTCTCCTCTGCTTTCCACTCTTCTTTACAGTTTAATGCACTCCTTCGTTTGCTCGTTTTCTTCACGTTTTTGACATTAAATGAGTCGGACTGAAAAGATCACTAAATTGTTCACAAAATAATCCCAAATAAATTGAACCAGTAACAAAGTAACATATTATTATGCTCACAACATGTATCTCAAAAAGAAAAAGTAAGTAATAGAAATGGTTAATAAGATCAATTTATAATTACAAACCAATCATCTTCAATACAAATGACTACGTGGCCTGCATGAATTGGTTTCGGTTCATTTGCTTTCCAATGGTGAATTTTCGAATATTCAAATTTTTACACTTTTTATGATTAGCCGAGAATTTATCCAACATAGATGTAACAGACATCAAAGAAATATATTCCATATTAATAAATTACAAGCAAATTATTTGTCGTAAGGGCTTGTTTCGACGAGAAAGATCATTGGTGTTTAACAGAATGTAGAGATGTCTCTGCTGTACTGAAAGAGTGGAAAATGAATAAGGAGACTTGCATAGATGTACTTGTAGTGTAGATACAGAAAGTGCAGCCGCTTAAATTGAAAGCTCAAGTTTATTGGAATTTAATTCAGGACAGGTGGAAATGCCTACACATTCAACTAGCCATACTCTGGATGAAAGCAGTTAACAGTCAAAGAAAGGGAGACCAGGCTGGCCTTTTTTAAAAAAAAAAAGATACATAGATGCTATGGCGGAAAATCTATAGTAAAAGTGTTAAGAGAGGAAGTTGCGGGCTGTGATGATCGCAGAGCTTGTAGAAAGTGTTCAATGTAAAAATTGGAAAAATAAATGCTTTAAGGCACAAACCTGGTACCACAAAAAATTTAAAAGAACATGAGTTAAGACTATTTATTGGTTATAAAAAGATACTTTTAATGAGCCTACTTCGACATATAACACACACCACACAAATCTCAGTGATCTGCCATCTTATGGTGGTAATACAGTGCCTGCCAGGATTCGAATCATACGAATGGATTTGTATAAAACAAACGTGTAGAAAATTTGGTGTAGGTCAGTTTTTCTCAGCCGATATCCCATACAATAACTATGGTACGGTATGGTCCCCGGAAAAGGCACTAGCGCACTCGTCCTCACCGCAGACACCTGTGGTCCGGAGTTTTGCAAATATCTGAGCACCATTGTGGTTGTTTCACCCATAATACCCTGCCATGAAAAATTATAACAAGCAGTAAATAAAAAGTTAACATTGTGATTTCGACTACATCCTCAGCTTAACCAGGTTCGTTGCCAATTTGGGCTCCCTTGAACAATCCCGTTGACGGGTGATTGCTGATGGCACCGATCGATAGAACTAGCTGAGAGACAAGCGAAACGAAGGACCCGCATGGTGTGGTGGTGAAGTACGCTACTCCCGGAAAGGACAATAGCGCGTTCGTTCCCCACCGTATACACCTGCGGTCCGGAGTTTTGCAAATAACTCAGCGTCATTGTGGTTGTTTCACACGTAATACCCTGCCATGAGAAATTATAATAGGCAGTAGATAAAAACCTAACATTACCGAATAATTGTAAAAAACACGACGAAAAAAACTCTGCATGCCAATATGGATGGTCGAAAAGCAGATGCGCTATGTAGGAATTCCGCCCGCCATTGTTTTACGAGACGCAGAGGGGCAGAAATCACTTACCTCGTCGACAACGTGTTAAAGTCTCCGTATACTTTCATTTGTGACTTTTCTTAAGATAAATTATTCTGGTCTTTCTAAATTTGGATAAAAACGGTAGGCACTAGGAACTTTTAAATATGCTTCTGCATAATACATGTTATGTTTGTATACATATGTATACATTTAGCGAATATTATATGTATTTATATAACACCTTTAAAACAATAAGATATATGCATACAAAACAATTTCACAATATTAAACTGTATTATAATATTAATATTACAGCATTGTTGATAGCGTACAATATGTAACAATATTATCTACGTATACTTACTTGGATACTTGAAAGGCCTCTCCTCACTAGTTGTGCGGTCCCTAGCACCTTTTCCACTTTTAGGAATTTTCCTAGTTTAGCCATTGTGGTTCCCTGGAGCCCTGAAGTCAGCCTAGCTAAATTCTGCCTCTGGTGCTCAGCACCACAGGAAGTCGCCGCCCTTGTCGATGAGCGGAATATTCTCCACCACGCGACTAATTTGAAACCACGGGGGTAGCGGATCATAACATTGGTTTACTCTTAGCTAGGCTTCCTGACAGAAACGCCAGACTCCTTGTCAATCTGGAAAGCACTGCTGGGGTAGGGAGAGAGGGAGGGAGGCGCAAATCCCCCCGCTGTACAATGCAGCCAGGCACCCAGGAGCCATATTTATATACATATACGTATGTTTCTCAATACCAGAAGTTAAATGCAACAAACGAACCATAGCAGATCCTTTAAGGATGTCGATTATTAACCTGTCAACCTCTCGACGCCAGAAGTTCTGAAACAAAGACTTGTGCAATGTTAACATGAAAATGAATAGAAGTTTTCATGAAGAAACTTTTCCTGATGTAATATTTCCAAACTGGATTATTCATCATAATCGAGTATTTGCAATCAAACATGATGTATAAGCAAAACGTTGACAAAATTGGAAAAAAAAGCTAAGTACAGCAATGAATGATAACGAAACTATTCAAAGACCGGCGAAAATAGTAACATTTCGGTAAACTTCTGTGTAAATCGCGATATATTCATCATTGTTCACAAAGTTTAACAGGATGACCTTTCAATTAGCTATTTCGAAAAGAACAAAGATTCAATACCCATCGTAAAGAAATGCCATACGCATGAATACCACTCAGAAATCAAGCACTGATGGTGATTGTAAGTGTTGAATTTCACTTTCCAAATCCACATCACAAAAGAAAGATACATAGATAAATAGAAAAAGTAAAGAAAAACTGCACGGAAGCAAACCTGGTTGAGATCTGTCCCAACGGACGCTCTCATGCTAATCTTCTCTCCTCCACTAATAGATCGTTTTAATTCAAACATAGGATGCGCAGATGCAAGGTCTGTCACATATGTACTCCGCCAATTTGGCACAAATTTAAGTGATGAAATGGAATCACGCATCGAAGACACCTATGAAATGGTACGAAAGAAAACTAACGTCAGTATCCAAATTCCTAATAAGAAAAGACATTAAGTTCACCTTGAGGCACTGTTTACTGACGATTTCCCATATACAATACTTTCCAGACGAATCGCCAGAAGCTAATAATGACCCATCTCCGTTAATCGAAAAAACGGTTATTTCATCACTGTGACCGTTGAAAATAGATACTCGTCTGTTCTTCTCGTCAGATACTTGAATTAGCAAGTCACGTCCTTGATCCTAAACGTTCAAACATGAAGTGACAGAAAATTCTACAAATAATCAATACAACATTCAGCGATGGGAACTTATGTGGAGCAAAAGCCGCGAAAATAATGTTCGCTTTCGAATTTAAACCAAGACGAGTTAATATCGAACTTCATTAATGGAAACAAAAATCAATAGAATCAACAAATCACTGCTAAGTGCAATGTATTGTTTTTGTATTAAGATAAAATTCCCATTTTCTGAGTACAGAGATCAATTTTTCCCTTTTTGTCGAGCGCTTTGCTTCGTACATGAAGGTAACTGAATAAACGGGAATTTGCACAGCGGGACATGATGGTTTCTGCACAGTGTCGCTTGTGTTTGCAGCTGTTGCGCAATCGTTAAAAATTCTGAAAAATCATGTCCAATTTTCAGTTTTTATAGTTCTAATTCTCAATATCCGAGGCACCCTGCAATACACATAGGATCGATCCGTGCACCCCAGGCCCACCAAGTCTTCCATCCGTCCGGGGTCGACAGATTGGTACCTGACTTATCAGCGAGGATAGCATCACTGGCTCGATACATCAGTAGGCCATCACGAGTCATTGTAAAGGTTTGACGTGCACTAATTCACCTCCAGAGATGCTTAATGAAGTAAAATGCATGGCGCATCCATCAAAGATTGATCAACACCGACAGCTTTTTTATTATCATAATATAAAATAGTCTAAGGATTACACATACCTAACGGAATCGGTGTACATTGATATCAACGTGTACGTGGTGGCTGCGTGGATTGGCTTGGCTTAAATGCACTCTCCCCAATACGTTTGTTTAGAGGCACATAGGTTTCTTACTACATACTTTGCATGGAATGCAGTAGATTGAGTACATGTTCTGTGCCAGGCATACCTATGAGAAGTTGTTCTCTCCACCTAAGAATTTACAAAAACAATTCATATGTATACTCTTAAGGTGACTGAAGATAAGCCTTTTCATCATCGTGTATAAGTGATAGAAATCCCTAAAAACATTAAAAGACGCACAGAGCCCTCTTAAGACGAAGAAATTACGATGAACGCGCGAAAAGAGTTTGAAGAAACCGAAAAGTACAACGAAAAAAACAGGCACACGCACACAATGAAAGCAATGGTCATTTTGAGGGTAAAAGTGCTCATTGCTCGTACGAGTTGAGTACAGTACAACGGCGTAAAATAAGCCTCCGTCCTACGCGACGGTGATAAAGAATAAGGCTTTGTTATGATATGTTGAAACGTGAAAACAATACTGACCGAAAAGAAAGCACTATTAAGAAAAAAAAACGAAGGATTTCCATATTCCAAGCACTGACGCTCTAGCTTCCAAAGCTTCGATGACCGCTTCTGTCCCAAATGAGTCAAAAACATCATTCCTTTCACGAGCAAGTTTCAGTGGAGCGCAACTGGAACGCTCAATGAAGTCAATATAAACGGTCTTTGAGACCGCGCGAAAGGCACGACACAGTAGTTGCTTAAGAATATCGTCCTAGTACTTTATTCTCTCAAATTTTTCCCACGTTTCTCCAACTTCTACATATCCGCCTTGTTCTGTGTACGTTCTCATGTTCTTGGACACCTCTTATGTTTGATGAAAAAAAAATTCGTCCATTATCTAACCATGACGTAGTTAACTCTCCGCATAATTTCGTTTGATAGCTTAGATATATTTCTGTCATTTTAATACTTCTTATATCCACAGATTCCATTCCGCCGTCAAAAAAGGCTTTTTGCAACCACAGCTGAGAATACGAGGATACTTATCCATGGACAAGCTCTAATATAAAATCTGCGTTCAGCAAGCTAATGATTGACTAAAAAGGGTCACAAAGATGTTGTCTGAAAAAAAGTTATGTATCTACGCAAAAAATATTTAAAGAGAAGCAGTTCCTAAAGAAGAGTTGTGCACTAATTTGTAGTTACAATAAAAAGGTTCAACCCTTTTACTACTCCAACCATTTTTGCGTGACTGGACGGCGTGTCATTGGAGGTGCACTTGAGCAGCGCATTAGAACCAATACACGCCGTCGTAAAAGGGTTATATAAGTCCATAGATGTGAAACAAATTAGGCCCCTTTTGCTTTCGCAATAGTACAACAAGTCATGTTGTCTGGATGAGGTCCAGCGTGTCAAATCCTTTTCGAAAACCCCGGTTGTTCATATGGTTATTCTTCGCTTAGAGCTCTGTCAATACTATTTAAGATTACTCGAGCGAAAAGTTTGTAGACGATAGAGAGCAAGGAGATTAGGCGATATTTGTCTATACCGTGGAGAACACCTTTCTTGAACAAAAGCACGGTCACGCTGGTCTTCCGCTGAGTAGGAACCTTGCATACTAACAGGTGACCCGTGAACAGCCGAGTTGGTGTGCTTATGGAGACTGATGGAAGGTTCTTCTGGTGCTCAGAACTTATCCTGTCAGCACCAGGTGTTGTACGATTCTTCAATACAGCATGCTGAATGTTAGGAATAAGAAGCAGTGGTACGAGATATTCGTCTTTAATATCATACGCAAGCAGGAGAACATGGCCATTGAAGAAATCAGAACAGTAGTCTCGGATTACTTCATTCCTTGTTTTCCAGGAAGCCATATCTGTTCCACTTGCCAGTCCCACCTTAATCTAATAATTGGCGATGTTTCGGTGAGCGTTGTGAGGGCTCTTTCTAGCCTCTGCAGCTTCAGCCATCACTACTGCCCTTCTGCTTCTTAAGATGTTCTTTCATTTCCTTTCAGTAGAGCTTCACACGTTCCTGACGAGAGTTGGTGATCGCCAACGGCTCTTGCGACTCCATGTTAGCGTATTAGCTCCAGTGTTCTTGGCAACAGATGTCGCTTTGTGACTTTTGAACTCCCGGCTTTCACAGCACTAACATGGTGTTGGAATAAGTCTCGTGTTCTTTACCGATGCTTCCAGATTTGTTGCAAACACCATCGATGGGAAGTATGCTGCTGGGGAAAACCCTGTTTGTTAATCGTCTTGCCGTTCTAGATGCGGGGTGTCATAAAAAAATCACATCTACCGCAGAAGAATCTAACATTTTGCACCTTGTTGGAGGAGACCGACAAATTCAAAGGTTCTCTAGGTTTTATTCCAAGCATAAAGTTCACTATCCGCTGAGATATTTCTTTATATTTGAGAGGTGCAACCATTTCAGGACGCGCGTGTATTGAAGTCAGTGGAAGTGGGCACATGTTGACACTAAGGTGGTAAAATGATTTAGAATAAAAGAGAAATAAACGATTATGACAATGAGTAATGTCGAATTCCAAAACATACTAAGTCATAGAGATTTATCCGCGCTATGTTTCCTGTGTCTGAACCTAGAAACAAGCGGGACTCGACAGGATCCAGTTTGCAAGCAGTGAGAGGCCGATCAGTGGACACCTGCCAAAAACCATATTTTATTCGAAAAAAACTTTTAATGAATAGATATTCTACCGATAGATTAATAATAGAAACCTTCAATAAAATTTCATCGAGAGAAACAGAATATACTGCAGCGATGTGATCCAGCCCACAGCTAGCAACGCGAGGGTTCGTTCCATTGCTAACAGACAAACCAGAAATTGCCAGTGTATGAGCCCTCCACTTGCGAATTGGCTCGACAGTGCATCCATGATTTGAAGAAATAATACTACAATAGAATGAACAAAGGAGCAAAACGTTCGAAACAATAAAACGATGCCGTTAACAATGAAAATTCAAATGCGACCCTAAGTAGTGCTCAAATTATTTGCACAGTAATCAAGAACGCGAATGTCGAACAATGTGACAAAATTGAACTTGGCCAAATCGGCCAATACTTTAAGTCTCCAGAATCCTATATTCACCCTCCGAGATGAGAACACAAACATGACTGTAAAACAACGCCAATAAATTCCCAAAAAGCTGGGCGCAGAAACTCACTCTGAGACTAGATAACAATGTGTCGATCCATCTTTCGACGCTGTAAATGAAAGCGACTCATCAGACGACAACGAGAGACAAGTGATTGTTTGGTAGTGGGAATCTACGACTGCAAGAAGTTCACCAGTTGATAGCTAAAGATAACTGATTGAAAAGCAGGCAAAACCACCGGCTTTCAGCTAGATCCTTATTGCATGAAAACTGATTTCTCGGAAAATTCATAGTTGTACGATAATATGGAAAGAATACTTGAAAAACTCGCATCGTTTTACAGAAATGAGGATTTCAAAGAAACACAACTATGATTGGCGAAGAAACACCTGGTAAAAGGAAACTGTAGAGATTTTTAAGAGTACAGGTTTCAAGGGTTGCAGAGCCCCAATAAATAATACCATGTTTGAATATTAGAATATATGCTACCGTACCGAATACTACCTTATGCCTTTAGTCAGAAAATAAAATATCATAAAATAAAAAAAATAAAAATAAAAAACAAAATAACAAAAAATAAAAAATATGGAAATATGAATTAAAAAAAGCTGAGAGCGAGGCAAAACAAAGGGCCCGTATGGGGTGGTGGTGAACACGTCAGCCCCACGAAAGGGTGATACCGCGTTCGTTACCGAACCCAGACATCTCCGGTCAGGAGTTTTGCAAATAGCTCAGCATCACTGTAGTAGTAATGCTCATTCTTATCATAATTACTATTGCAATTATAGTACCTATAATTATAACAGTTACTAATTATGTAAATATACCTACTTGTACACTTGGATGGGCCGTCTTCATTGGTTGTGTGCCCCCAGCATGACGTCCACTTTTTCGGAGCTTGCCGGTTTAACCATTATGGTTACCTGGAGTCTCGAGGTCAGCCTAGCCGAAGTTTGCCCCAGGTCGTCACCATCACAGGCAGTCGCCGCCCTTGTGGATCAGAGGAAGATTTGCCACCATGCTACTAGTTTCCTACCACGACGGTGGTGGATCCTGGTACTGGTTTACTCTTAGCTGGGCTTCCTGACGGAAACGCCGGACCCCTTCTCAACCGGGGAGACCCTGCCAGGGTGATGAATTCCCCACTGTACATCGCATTCCGACACTCAGGAACACCTCGCAGCCACGATGAAGGAGCAAACCGTTGTGAGGAATACGCATCTATGTTCATTTAATGTCTCAGAGTGCCAGGGTTACCATAAATTCACGAAACTCCTCAAAAATCGTTATCCTTCTAGCAAGAGATGATGGGAACACGACTATCACGGCCGGATTAAGAAGGTTATAAAGAAATTGTACACTCATCTAGTTTTCCATAATAATCGAAAAAACTCATTAACCAGTCGGTGCATTTTCACCATGACACACACGCATTGTGGACAGGCTGCCGCGAGGATGAGAATTTGTAAGGCAGGTGGCGGAACAAGGATTTGAAACCAAAGAGTATTTCACTGACCACTGCTTTTTACTTCTCTGCAATAGATCAATTGGAATTTCATACTGCTTATGGTTCTCTCACTGCGTACAGCAAAAACATGCCTTTTTTGCCAAAGTGTGGTTCTGCAGCAAAGATGTTGCTATTGTTGTTAGGGCAATGCAACGCTGTGCTAGAGCCAAATTTTAGGCCAAGATAGAGTTAAAAAGCAAAACAGCACTAACCAGCCATACAAATAGCTGTGTTGCGATTGATGCGAATAGCAGAGATCCATCCTTATTCGTGCAGAAGGTGGAAATCACACCACTGACGACTGCCTTTTGGTGATAACGATCCCGTGGATGCACAGCAAATGCATGGATTAATGGGCGATCCTTGATGGAAACGAGCAAGTGATCTCCATTTACACCTAAAGGAAACGCTTGGAAAAGCATGATAACGAGTTCAGAAGCCTCCTTTATAGGTAAAAAAAAAATAGAAATATATTACCGAGAGAATCTACGAATCCAACAGTGGCCCCTTGCAGCTCTGATCCTTTGTAACTCCATGACGCCACTCCTGTTCTTGGATCAACAACTATCACGGAAAATGGATCATTGCTTGAACAAGCAACCAATAGTTTCTGAAACACATATCCTATCTGAGGTGAATCACGCATGAAAATCAGAAAAATTCCCACGAAACCGGGATAATCCGCATAAGGACAAAGGACAAAGCGTTTAGCATTGATCAGACCCTGACGGATGAGCCATGCATTAGACTTCATCGAACGATTGAATGCATATCTGGGCTCGCGAAGGCCAGTGGATGTATCAAGTGAGTCTTCTTATCATCAAAGAAGTCTGAAACCAACTTTTTTCCCCTGAAAAGACGGAGGGAGGCTTGAATAGTCTGGCAGACAGTATCGAACCAACCACTATGTGTGTGTTGTAGAAAGGGGACATCCAACCATTGCGCTTCACAAGCTTCAAGACAAAATGATATGCGTAAAAACCCAATGCTCGAAACACCTCAGATTTTTGAGCAATTCTACAAGAAAATACAACACCATGAAGCGAAAAGAAGTTATGATGGCACCTCAAACATTTGAAGAAGTAGAATTGCGGCTCACGAAAGTCGTTCGACAGAAAGACGTAGACGCAATAAGCATACGAATACCAGTTGCCAGTCTGATGCTTCCTCTCTTCCAGTTGTTTTCTGGAAATAAGAACAATAGAATTCTCTGTAAACAGTAACAAATGTTAACAGGAACGTAACCCCAAAGAACAAATAAACACAAAACAGGAACCGTCCATTTCATAAAACATTGAAGGAAGCAAGTTCAAAAGCAACAATCGGATCTAATAGGGAAAAATCATGTCGTTCTCCAGTTCTGAAATAAATGGGAACTTCCAGAAAGAACGTAAAAATACTTTTTAAATTTTCATCAACCTCTAAACAACTAGATATTTACCACCTGGCCGCAATTACATAGAATGTGCTCTCCTACACGTCAACTCTGTCCGAATCATGCGATCACTAACCGAAATAATATATCAGAATACTTGGATACTATATCAGAAACATGATTAGGACATTACAGAGAAGCAGTGGCTAGTGATGCAGTTCATCAGGAAGCAAGGTGCTGGATCGACTTTCACCCGAACGCTCTCCTCCAATCAATGTAGTGACGCTCCCGGTCGGGTACCCTCACGATTGCAAGCAGAGTCGATTCGACCAGCATTTAGCGATATCCAGAAGAAGACGAATTCCTCAAATAGCAACCGAAACGACGCACCAAATGTTCGGAAACCTTTGTAGAGGATGAATGTGAGGAAAGCGAAGCTAGTGCAAGAAATGCTGCTGAGATCCCCACAGTAGATGTGATGACGGGTCATATGAAATGTAAAATATAAGAAAAATATCTGCATTTTAACTTATTATTTACTGCCTACTCTTTTTAATGGTAGGGTATACATTGTAAAATATAACCTCAATGATGCTGAGATATTTGCAAAACTCCGGACCGCAGGTGTATGCGGTGGGGAACGAACGCGCTATTGTCCTTACCGGGGAGTAGCGCACTTCACCACCACACCATCCGGGTCCGTTTTACTTGTCTCTCAGCTAGTTCTATTGATCTTAATAAAAAAATAAAATAAAATAATAAAAAAATAAAAGGGTTAAGATTGTGATTATAACTAAGCCTCAGCTTAACTGGGTTCAATGCCGATTTGGGCTCCCCAGATCAATCCCGTGATTGCAGATGGCAAAAGATCGATAGAACTAGCTGAGAGACAGGCGAAACGAAGGACCCGCGTGGTGTGGCAGTGAACGCGCTATTCCCCGTATAGGACAATAGCGCAATCGTTGCACACCGCATACACCTGCGGTCCGGAGTTTTGCAAATATCTCAGCATCATTGAAAAAATATCTGTGTTTATATATAAATATTTGTATATGTATATGCATATGTGTATGTATATGCCTATGTATGGATGTATGTGCATATGTATATATGGTTTTGTACACGACCCATCTTTCACAAATGTGAGTCCCAGTGGTCTTTGGATTCGGTTCCTTCCCCACACGTGTGTGTAGTACAGTGGTCTCAGCAGCCCTGCAATACACACGGGATCGGCCCTCCATCCCTCCGGGGTCGGTAAATTCGTACCAGACTTGTCTGGGAGAGTAATAGCACTGGCTCGATACATCAGTAGGCCACTGCGACTCATTTTAAACGCCAGCTATGCATTCAGTCACCTCCAACGATGCTTAATGAAGTCGAATGCATGGCGCATCCCTCAGGGATTGATCATCGCAGAGAGCTGTGTTCTTTCCTTTTATACCCGCACCCACCATTCATGAAGGTCTTCGAACTCACAATGTTTAACTTTTTATTTGCTGACTCATTTTTTCATGGTAAGACATTATGTGGAACACTACCACAATGATGCTGAGATATCTGCTAAACTTGGAACCCGTTTCCCGAGGAAGGACTCTGTTGATTCAACGGTTCACTTCATCTGTGGTTGTCAGCCTTGGCATCATTTGTCGCTGCTATGCTGTTTACGAATTATCCATTTCCCAATAAGATTTCTATTCAAAGCAATTATCAAAGCTCTGAAGAAAGGAAAAGCCTCTGCTAGGTGCACTGGAACTTCTCCCGAACCACACAACACTTCCACAAACTGAATTCAACCATCAGATAGACGTTTGCCTATAAGTTTTGGATGACAACCCAGCTAACCACCGAGTGACATGATCGAGATGGATAACAATGAATTATCTACTGGTTCCTATTACATGCCAAAACTGCCTTTTCGTCATGACTGAGGTTCTTAGCGACAAATCCCAAGGCTGACTTACTTGCAACCTCGGCACTGGACAATAATTCACGGTTTTCCTTGATCAGGTTGACACGAGGTTGTCATTACAGCATTTATTAGTACACAATAGCTGACGTTTCAGCAGTTTCGCCTTCTTCAGAGCCTGGGAAGGTCGAATGGACATGCCGTCGATTCAGCCAAACACTTCCATAATCTCGGCAGACAAAACTTAGCACAATTTCCATCCGCATAATGAAGAGCTTCAACGACATTCTGCTCTTCCTTAGATAAACTCACGGATAACTTGTCCGACTTTCCGGCACTGTACGCAGGTTTTCTTTGTATTTAGTGACACATTGTAGGTGGCAGGTATAGCATGTTCATTGGGACAACTCCGAACCTCCTCCCAGGCACTTCTCATCTAGTTGATTCCAGACTACTGAGCAAATCGACGTGCTCACACTCACATGGGCACATCTGCGTATTCAGGGGTGAGTAGATATCACGCTATCCTTCATCCGACGTGTTTCCCTCTAAGAAGAGTTCCGTCATCCGCTTCTTAGGTAATACGGTTGCTTCAACTTCAATTGTTTACCAAACTGATCTAATATCGTGAAAAAAATTACATTAAACCTATTCGGAACTCAAAATAATGCTCCACGCAGTCGTAGAAATTCTATGGTGGTTCAAACGATAGAAAACGCCCAAATTCTCGAAGAAGAGAATTTGACACTTAGACTATAGGCTGTCCAGGTGGCTAGTTTCACTCCATATTAGATAAGACTCTCCCTATCTTTAGAAATATTTCTGCTACAGGGATTGATAGAGCATTTGATCAAAATGTGGTCGGAAAAGCAGGCGGTGGTATACTATTGAGACTTTCAAAGTGTCTATTTTCGAGACAATTTTTATCAACAGGGGAACGCATCTTTACAAAGGTCGAGCAGTAATTTTCTCTTCCTTTATTCAGTTTCATATCGAACATTTTCACAACTTCCGGTGTTCGATTTGACTAAAGTTGATGCCCACCCATTTTTTCACCGGTGATTAATCTGAAATAGTTCCATGTTCCTCTGAGGTAAACAGTGCCCAGCACTTGAATATGAAGTTACCAAAACAATTGTTCGCCTAAGTTGCATATTCGCAAGCTCTTCCATGTACTTAAAAAGCAATTCGTGAAACACCAATTAACGTCAGCTAAATGTATAAAATAAAGGATAAAGCTCTCGGCGTTGATCAATCCCTGAGAGATGCACCCTGTATTCGACTTCATTAAGTATCGTTGGAGGTGATTGAAGCATATCTGACCTTTACAATGATTCGTGGTGACCTACCGATGTATCGAGCCAGTGCTGTTGTCATCCCAGACAAGTCTGGTACCAATTTCCCGACCCCGGAGGTATGGAAAGCTTGGTGGACCGTGGGCGCGGGGATCCATTCCACGTGTGTGTCTCAGTGGCGCCTCCAACCACTGCGCCACACGAGCCCTAGCTAAATGTATGCTAAGAAATTTCTCTTGGCTGATTGATATCAGAAGAACCTCACAATGAGGACTTGACTGACAGGAAGTCACTTTTGGAAAATTCTCCGTAACTGTAAAGCATCCGCGTCGCAGGTGCTTATTCTGGAGCATTTGAAAATATTTATGCAGTTGTTTGTGGTATTGATATGGAGGTGGCAGGACAACTTCACTTTTCTATCTTCCAAATTTATTTATTTAAATCGCTTCAATTATGGCTAATTTAGCTCAATTTACGACGTAATGTCAATGCATCACTCGAGTCTAACGTCCCAACTGAAATTGTACGCCTCCAACAATAGAGCTTCTACGAGTGGAAGAACTGCACAGGTCCTGATTTTTGATCCTCGAAGTTGGAAACGCACTTGCAGCGAAGACTATTTTTCAAAGATGAGAAAAGGATGAATACCAAACTGCGCAATGTCGGCACTATGTGCAGCATGTGCAACAGTTCAGTGAGCAGGCGTCCTCAATCCTCTGACGAACCATAGAATATGGATTCACATATGGAATATTTCAATCCTGAACAAGAATAGTGGATGGGAAATGCATTCGACCTTATAAAAATTCAACCAAGTTTGGTGGTACCAAAGCTGAAAAAATGTCGAGTGGACAACGCAGCTTGGACATGAAAGCCGCAAACATGCAGGCCTTTCATATACATGGTCAACTCAGGGAACGCATTCATCGCTTAGAAAACCGGTCCACATTTCTTCTCCATCTGCCGTTTGCCCACCTCATTGTTTAGCCGAGGGAATTATGTCTCGCGCATTTTGTATTCTACTCTATCTCGAAAATGGAACAGTTATCGCGGATTTGAATTGCATATGT